CCCTGTCCCCTAGCCTCTAGCCTCTAGCCTCACCTGCACAAGGCCATCAGGGGACAGGCAGGGGTGAGAACCGGGTCTGGAGGCGAGGATGCATGGCCTTAACCTCCACGGTCAACATGGAGGAGGGGCTCAGGAGAGGTGGTGCAGCTGGGAAGGGGAAAAAAGGAAGGTGCTTGGCAGGCGAAGAGTGTACACGTAAATATCTGGGAACAGTGAGCCTGGGGGCATAGGAGCCAGGGCCCTGTCTGGAGCTGGGAAGGGGTGGTGGTGAGTGGGGAGCCTTAAGGACTGGGCTGAGGAGTGTGGGGGACATTCTGTCTTCTTTTTTGGTCTCTGTGCTCTGGACCTTGGTCCTTTCTCTGTTCCCCCAGGCTCAGGGGTGGGGGGCTGGCTGAGCCTCATAGGAAGGATGACACCGCACTAGTGCCAAGTTCCCGCTTTGGCCCATGCCTCCCAAGCAGCGGTGGTGGGTCGGGGGGAAGAGCCCCAGCTGTGCAGCCAAGAGCCAGGCCCACAGGTCCTAGATCAAGGTCAGCGGAGGGATGCACCGAGTGCCCCGGTGAGGGGCAGAGCTGGGAGGTGGCAGAGGGATTCTCTGGGAGAAGGCATTCTGTTATTTTTCACCCCCTCCCCAGAGCCTTATCCTGCCTTCCCAGACTCCATTAGTGCACTCTGCCTCTGTTCAGGACAGCCTGAGCGATTCTGGAAGATTTGTCCAGCTTGCTGGTGAGCTGATGGTGACTGCATGGTCACGGCCAGTCTGCTATCAGCCGTCCCTTCCGGCTCAAACTCCATCTTCCTGGTGGGCCTCCCAGAGGGAATGAAGTCATTGTTTCCCACGACCCGGCCTGTGGTTGGGAAATCCCTGCCCTGCCCTGCCCAGTAGGGAGGGTCCACTCCCCTCAGCCCCTCTCTCCTGTGCTCCACAGAAGCTTCGGGCTAAGAGAGTGACGGCCTTGGCCACCCCCGCCCCCGGCCGTAGGTGTCTTCTCCCCCCGACACAGCCTGAGGTCCTCAACCTTAGCATGCATCTGAGGACCTGTGCACCCACCCTACTCTGGACAAAGCCTGAGGTTCGCCCACAGCATCCGGGTGGGGCTAGAGCCCAGATTGTCCTGGGGACAGCCAGCTCTGACTGGAAAGCAGGCCTTGCTGGGCACATCAGGAATAAGGCACATCTGGAAAACTGTTTTCCAAGACGGCTGCTCCAGGAGGGCCAGAGAGTGCCCGGGCCTGAGTGGCTTCAGGCCCCGCCCAGGGCTCAGGAGTTGGGGAGGGGGGCAGTCCCCCCCTTATTTAGCCTGGCTCAGGCCTGTGGGATCTGGAGGCTGGGCCCGTGCCACTGCCCATGGGAGGGACACATTGCTAACCGAGTCAGGCCACACTGGAGAAGGAGCTGGGGTGGAGGGGGCACCCTGCCCTAGAGCCCAAGCAACCAGGGCTAGTGGGGCTGCACAGGTGGGTGGCTCTGGCCTTCCCTGGCTTCTCGTGTGTCCACTCTTGGCTCAATGCTTCCTTCCCCATCTGTCCCTCACCCCACCCCAGTTATGCAGAAAAGCTGGAGATGGCCCCCCCACGGCCCCTGCCCATCCCTGGGCCTGGATCCCTCAGTCCTGTACTTGTTACTGGGCCATCAGACCTTGGGTTTCTGGGGCGCCTGGGGGGCTCAGTCGTTAAGCGTCTGCCTTCGGCTCAGGTCACGGTCCCAGGGTCCTGGGATTGAGCCCCGTGTCGGGGTCCCTGCTCCGCGGGAAGCCTGCTTCTCCCTCTCCCACTCCCCCTGCTTGTGTTCTCGCTCTCGCTGTGTCTCTCTCTGTCAAATAAATAAATAAAATCTTAAAAACAAACAAACAAACAAAAAAACTCGGGTTTCCATCTGAGAACCAGGACCATCAGGGGCCTTCCCTGACAGGCAGGCAGAGAACTGGACTGGGGTTCTAGGAATTAGGGGGTCCTGACATCTAATCCTAGCTCTGCCATTCTTTGGCAAATCACTTACCATCTGAGCATCCCAGGGTTGTGGTGAAGAAGAGCCCTCAGCCAGAGACTGTTTCCTTTCTCCCTCCCTCCTCCCTCCCTCTCTGTCTCCCTCCCTCCCTCCCTCCCTCTCTCCTCCCCTCCCTCTCTTCGCTCCTTGGCCAGGGTTTGTGGCAGACCAGGGAGAAGAAGGTCATGGGGTTTGCGGCCTTCCTGGATCTGGGGCTCCAGTGGCAGTCCTTCCCCCTTTCACGTTGAAATTGTCAGGTCATGGTTACACAGGACCCTTTGCACTGGGGGACATGGTGGGTGAGTGAGGTGGGCATTATTCCGGAGAGGTCTGCATTCAGATGGTGCCTCCTGGTGATGGCAGAGCCTTTGCCCCAAGGAACAGAACTGTAACGGTGGGTGGCATTTAAGGCAGAGGCCATGCTGATATGGGGGAGGGGTGGGAGACACAGTGGGTGTCCCGGGTATTGTCCTGAGGACCCTCACATCATCCTGACGGTGGTGGTACCTAATTTGCCCTGGCCAAAGTGCTTTGCCTCCTCTGGGTTCCCCAGATCCTGCCCTGCTCCAGGAGGACGTGGTCCTCTGGCAAGTATGCACTCACCCACGTGCCCTGCGCAGTTACAAGCTCCACCATCCCGAGCACGCACACACAGCCCGCAGGAGGACAAGGAGCTGGGCTGTCTGGTTTGTAGCTGTATCCCCAATGATCAGAACAAGGTGGCACATGACTCGTGCTAAGTAAATATTGGGTGGATAAGTTAGTACGTCCCACGTGACTCGCACCCACATAGCACATCGTGCGTCCTCAGCTACGCGGGTCCTGACCTGGCCCATGGACCCCGTCACGGAAGGCTCCTGTTGTCTCTGACATGCTGTACCCCCACGCCGGCCTGAGTCCAGTGGTCCTTGTGGGCCCTGCTGCCAGCCTCAGGCCTCCAGGCTGAGTCCTGGTACATGCCAACATCCCTCATCCCTGCACCAGGTGGAGGGCCGGGACAGACGTGGACCCTGTCGGGGCCAGGAAGCTCAGGGGACAGGAGGACACTGTGAATGTCCAGGGCCAGGGCACGAGGAGCCCCCTGGGGTGTGGAGAGCCGAACAAGTGTTGCCCAGAGGAAAGGATGGGGAGGGTTCTGGGAAGGGGCCCAGTCGGGCTGAGTCCCTCTCTTGGATGGTTACTAAGGCGCAGATGACCTCCAGCAGCCGGGGCTTTCTGAGCACGCAGGGCTCACCTGCCACCGGGCCGACCCCCTGCCTTGCATGCACTCCATCCTGTACCTACAGGCCCGTAGGTGTACTTAGGTGGTCACAGCTCCCAGTGGGCCTCCTACTCCCAGCGAATGCCAGGCGGATCCCTGGGCGCTTTGTCCCTGCTCCAGGGTGGCTGTGATGTGTGCGGCAGCCGGGCCAAAGGGCAACCCATACGGACTGGTGTCATGAATGGTAGATGGCCTCCGCACAAGAGGTGTAAGACCCGCACACTCATCCTTGCCCTGCCCTTGGCACATGCAGAATTTAGAGCTGTCCTTCCCCTGGCTGAGCCTCAGTTTGCCACCTGTAAAATGGGGAGAAGCCAATACTCACGCGTAGGGCTGAGGAGGGGCTGGCTGGAGGTGGGAGGAGCGGGCCTGAGAGGGCCCCTCTCTCCCGGGCTTGGCCTCGCCCACCTCCTGGGGGCCCCACCTTTCCCTCACCGCAGCAGGCTGGCGGACTGGCAGGAGCTCCCTGTTGCTTGTACAGCTAATCAGCTGCTGTGGGGCCTCTGGCTTGAGGATGTGCAGGGCACAGCCTGGACCACAGGGCTCTGCAGAGCGGCTCTTCCCCTCCCCCCACCCAATCTTTCCCCTTTTGCTTCTTGCCTCTGGTTCCAGTCATGTGTCGTCTTTTTCCAGGCTGTCTCTTCACCCTCTGGGCTCCCTGGCTGTCTCTCCTTCTCAGCCTGGCCTGAGATCTCTCTCTTTCACTTCCACTGTTGTGGGGATTCTCCTTCCCTTTTACTCTGTCTTTCATTCTGCCCGTCTGTCTTCCCCTGTCTGTCTGTCTGTCTTCTCTCCTCTTCCCTTCTCTGGCTGCGTCTCTGCCTCTTTCTTTGTCTTGGGTCTTCTCTCCTTCTGTCCTCTTTCCCTCCTGTCTCCAGGCTAGCTTGCCATTCCTTCACTCTCCCCTGTGGTCTGCCAGCATGCAGCGTTTGAGAGGAAAATCCTAAACTGCCCCCCACCCACTTTCTCTATCTGTTAGTTCAAATTTCTCCGGAAGCTTGAGGGCTCCCAGAGTGGGTACTTCCCACGTCCTTGCCTATCGCAGGCCTGCCCTTGACCATAGAGTGCAGGGTGGGCCACAGATGAGCTCTCTGTGCCTCCTAATGCCTCTGTGCCCCCATCAACTGGGCCTGGCCTGTGGTGCTGGGGCCCTGGGACATCCCTAAAGTGACATCCAGTGGCCAGGCCTGGGCTGGGGTGCAGGAGGCCCTGAACGCCCCCTGGGGACCCCTGGACCCGTGGTCTCTAGACTAACGCCACTGTGGGATGGGATGGGGATGGCAGGCAAGCAGGATCATGGTGCCCCGCCTCCAGGGAAGGCAGCGTCCACCTGCTGAGTCCAGCCCGCCCACCCCGCCCCATCCAGAGCTCCTGGCTCTGCCCATGGGCACCCCCTGAGCTTTGCACATAGGGCGGGACACCTGGATTTCTCTGGCCCCCTGAGTGGGGCCAACTTGGAGGAATTTCCCAAAGCCTATTAGAGCAGTGGCTGCCTCCTGCCTGCCTCCTCGAGCTGGGCAGGGCTGAGGGCGGTTGGAGAGAGGGAGGGAGGGGGGAGAGGAGGGAGGGAAAAAAGTTGGCAGGCCGACAGCAGAGCTGTGTCTGCATCCATCGCTGAGAGGAGGCCTGTGCAGTGTGGGGCGGGCCAGGAGCAAGGAGAGGCCTTCCTCCCTTTGTGCTCCCCCTCTCCTCCCGCCCCCCCCCACCCCTGGGCCCTATAAATAGGCCCAGCCCGGGCTGTGGCTCAGCTCTCAGAGGGAGTGGAGCACCAGGCAGCGGTCTCCAGCCGAGCCCCCTGCCAGCATGGCCAGCGAGTTCAAGAAGAAGCTCTTCTGGAGGGCGGTGGTGGCCGAGTTCCTGGCCATGACCCTCTTCATCTTCATCAGCATCGGTTCCGCCCTGGGCTTCAATTACCCGGTGAAGAACAACCAGACAGCAGGTGCGGCCCAGGATAATGTGAAGGTGTCACTGGCCTTCGGGCTGAGCATCGCCACCCTCGCCCAGAGCGTGGGCCACATTAGCGGCGCCCACCTCAACCCGGCCGTCACGCTGGGGCTGTTGCTCAGCTGCCAGATCAGCATCCTCAGGGCTGTCATGTACATCCTTGCGCAGTGCATGGGGGCCATCGTGGCCACCGCCATCCTCTCGGGCATCACCTCCGCCCTGCCAGACAACTCGCTCGGCCGAAACGAGGTAAGTGGGGTGGCCCCAGGCGCTGGGGCTCTGGAGCGGAGCAGAGACAGCAGGAGGTCTCATCCTCCACCCATTGAACGGATGGGGACACTGAGGAGCAGAGAGGATGCAAGGTGGCTGGAGGTCATGCGGACTTGGGGCTGGAACTCAGCTACACCCGCGGCCCAGAGCCCAGTTTTTGCCAGGCACTGTGGGAAGCTGAGACCCAGAGCAGAATAGTCTGGCCAACGTCCCCTGCGGGCGTCTGTTGCAGGGATGAAGCTCTGGAGGCAGCTTACACTGGGGCCAGCAGTTCCTCGCCCTCAGCTATAGTTTCCTGCCCCCCGCTCCCCCAGCCCGGCCGGGGCAGCCAGCTCCCTCTTCCTACAGCCTGGACCCTGGGGAGACGCTGCCCGCTCTGCCCAGATGCCCGGCACGGCTGCGCCAGGGGGGCGAGTGTGCAAGCAGGACCCAGGTGGGCGGCCCCACGGGCCTCCAGCTCACCCCACATTCACACAGGTGCCCCAACAAACTGCCTTCAAGGAGAAAGCCCCTCCTGCTCCTTGGCCCCCAGGAATTAGACCAAGCTGGGGGGTCGGGGGGAGGGGTGAAAACACTCTCTGGGCTGTGGGCAGGTGGTTTTCCTGGATGGCAGTGTGGGGTGGTGGCCGGGGGGGGGCATCTTGCCTCCTGTCTGCGCTCCTCCCTCTGTCGCGGGCACCGTGAGGTGTGGCACGTGTGTTTGTGTGTGTGAGCAGTGTGTGCACGTGGCTGCGTAAGCTGCGCGTGCCCGTGTGTGCCCGGGTCTGGGAGTGTGTCTGCGAGTGGTCGTGCCGCGGCGGGACTGGGTGGGGGTGAGCGTGTACCTGGGCATCCCCACTGCTCCTGGCTCCAGCGGGCTCTGGGCGGGGCACGAATGGCAAGCCGATGTTGGTGGGTGGGCGGCGGACGCGGTAAAGAACTCCTCCCGGGTGGCCGGTGGCGGCACTTGCTTGCTGTCGCCGACCTGGGCTTTTCCAGACCCCCGGCCAAGTGCAGACTCAGACCCGGCTTGGGCTGCCGCAGGGGGGACATTTGGCCCCAGGGAGGCTGAGGAAGGCTTGGAGGGGGACTTCCCAGGGAAGGGGGGAGGCGAAGGAGCACAGACGAGGAATCAGATCTCCAGAGAGGCGGCTGGCCTGGCCAGGGCACGGCAGCCGGGCGTAGGGACAGCGAGCCGGCCTGCCAAGGGCTCCTCCGAGACGGTGGTCTGTGATTATAGCAGTTGCTCTCTCGCTTCCCAGACAAAGTTCAGAGCCTGGCGCTGCAGCTGCGGGGAGGCTTGGGAAGGTCGCGGGCAGAGGGCAACTGGCCCGGCCTTGCCACGGGGGGATTAGCACTTCTGGTGTCACAGTGACACCTTACCCAGCCCCCTTGCAGAGCCAACTGCTGCTCAGCCCAAGATTGAAGATTAGCCTGCAGGCTGGAGTTTAGACTTTAGTCAGGAAAGACGTGGCGGAGGTGGGTGGAAGGGACGGGAGCTCTGGCAGGCCACGTTCCTCCAAGCCTCAGTCTCTGCAGAGGGGCAGAGCCTGGTGACCTGAGGGAGTGGCCCCTGGGTAGGGTCAGGTTCACAGCAGGGCTCGCTGGGCATGATGGCTCGGGAGAAGAGGTCCTCGAAGGGGTGGGGTTGAATCTCTGCAGGCCTTCTGTGCCGTCTTGGCCTCTCCTTCTCAAGGGACAGGTGGGACAGGCATCTATTGGCCGACTTTGTGTTCTAACTCGGGCATCGCAGGTAGAGGCAGGGAGGGTGGCCACCGACTCTGGCATCTTGATCTGGCCACACCCTGCTCCAGTGTCCCTTCCCTTCCCGGGCCTCCATTTCTCAGAGTTACCCTGACGCTGGGGCTGGGCAGGTTGCAGGTGGAGGGGAAAAACGGACAGGCTCAAGCCAGGGCCAGCCCCGGTCTGGGAGACAAGCACTCCAGGTTCAAGTCCTGTCTGCTGCTAATCTGTTGAGTTTCCTTGGAGCTGAGGGCCCTGAGACTCCAAGAGGGAACCTAGGTCTCTAGATATTTCTTGGCTCCGCCGATACCACCAGCAAGCTCACTTCGGGGACTTGAGTTTAATTATCACCCTTCCCGGGAGGGTCTGGCTAAGAGGACCCCAGGAAGGGCCATGCTGAACGAAGGGTACTGAGAGCTGTGGTGGGGTGCAGGCACTGTCCTGTCTACACCGTGGAAGTTGGGGGTTCAGAAGCACAAGCCCTGGGCCTAGAAACAGAAAGCATCTCTCCCAAGGGCTCCTGTCAGACACTGGACCTGGGATCTGAAGGGATCTAGCAGGTGGCCCCAATGCCTCAAGAAGGGCAGAGACCAGTCTATGCAGCAAGTGATACACTCTTTCCTCTTGCGCCTGGGACCCCACCCTGGCCCAGACCTAGGTGGAGCCCTTTGTTGGCATGGAGATTCCTAAGGAAAATAGGGAAAGAAGAGGCAGGAAGTGGTTGGGGTGAGTCAGGGGGTGTCCCCGGGGGCATGGTGGGGACAACTTTCTTCTCACTGAGTCAGGGCTTGGGATACACCCTGGAGAGACCCTGGGCCTCTGTCCCGCCTGTAGGATCCCGGCTGGTTCTAAGAGCCAAACCCCAATTTCGGCCCAAAGTGAGAGTGTCAGAGGCAGGGGTTGGTGGCCTTATCGGCCCCTGCCCTAGTCAGACACTACCACGCTTCATGCCAGCACCCTTGCCTGTGTGGCCTCAGTTTCCGTCTGTGAAGTAGGGACATAGCAGGGCGTGGCTGGGCTCTGGGAAATGAAAGATGCTCACAAACCAGGGAGTCCTGACTGTTAGCCAGCTCTTTTTATCCTTCCCGTCTCTGGCTCGCTCACCCATGCTCCCTGCAGACCGGACTGGGACCACTGGGGGCCCAGCAGGGGCTGAGTCAGCCAGCTCCCCACCCCTGGGCGACCAAGGCCCCTGGCGGGCAAGATAAGCCCCTCGCACAGCTGCCTGCGATACAGGGCAGGAGGCAGGTGTGATAAGAGGTGTCAGGGCGGCAAGGGAACTTCCGTCTTGGAGCCGTGGGGAGGGCCAGGAAGGCTTCACGGAGGAAGTGCCATGGGAGGCTGAATGTGGAGACTGGGAAAGGGGCTTCCGGGCAGAGAAAGGGCGTGAGCACAGGCAAGGGGGCAGTGGGAGCTCAGGGTCAGGGAGTCACAGGCTGGGGGTGGTGGGCGTGGGGGTCACGGTGAGGGGCTGGGGCTCTGGAGAATGGACGGTCAGGATTCAGGCCAGTGTCTGCCTGTGTCCGAGAGGGGACTGGATGCCTGGCTGTCCCCAAGCCTGGGATTTGGGGTGGGGGCGGGGGCTTCAGGCAGAGGGTAAACCTTCCCTCTTCAGGATCTTCTCTCAGCCTTGCCGATTCTAGGTCTGACTGCCTGGGGACTGCTTCTATCTGCTACACCCAGGGCCTGACCTCAGCCCTAAACTCTCCCCTTCCCCAGTTTCCTGGGCTCGGTTTCCCCAACTACCGAGTGAGAGGGTTGTCCCTTCCCTGTTGGTCCCCTGCCCCGCACTGGCCACGAGTCCTTCCAGGGTTGAGGGCCCCTCCGCCTCCACCAGAGTTGGGGGTGCCTTGGGGAAAGGGAAGCCAGTTTTTAGACGGACGTGCCCAGAGAGGGGGCTGGGGGCTGGGTGGTGGTGCCTTAGCTGGGACATATAATTACAGTTTCCAGCCAGAACCAGATGAGGGGGAGGGCGTAGAGAGGCAAGAGCTTTGTGGTGGAGACTTCCCTCACCACAGAAAATTCTGAGGCAGTTTCCCTTGTGAGGGCCCTTGGAGCACCCCTGCCGGCCCCATGCTGCCCACCCCAAAGCCTGGCCTTACCCAGGGCTCACTCTGGGAACCCCTTGTCTGAAAGGGCAATGCCATGAGAGGGGATGTGGCCTGCTGGAGCACCCCAGTCTGCAGGGTCTCACCTTCCGCATGGCGCCCCCAGGACACAGCCTCCCTCTCATGCCTTGAGCCCTTAGTTCATTGCAGACCAATTCCATGGAGTGCCCCCCAACCTGAGCTCAGCCCTAGAGCGCTCCCCACTTTCTCTAGGGTCCTACCCAGTGGGGGTTCCTTCAGCATCAGCCACCAGGGCTTTCCCCAGGCCGGTCAAACGTGCCCCACACCCACCCCTTAGGGATTGGCTTGGGAAAGCTTTCCCCAAGAGCCCCGTGTTCTTGCTGGCAGAGCCTCCCTGGGTGGGGCACGGTCCCTGCCCTCGGGAAGTGCCAGTGGGTTCTGGGGCCTCCTGAACAGCTGGGGCTGAGTCAAGACGCCCGCAGGTGTGGGCAGGAAAATGTTGTCATGGTCAATGTCCCCTCAGCCAGGGCTCCTCTCCGGGGATGGGGGGCTCTTTGCCCCACAGTGGTGCTTAGGGGGTTAAGTGAGGGGCCATCTTCACATTACCAAGGAGCTGCAGTCCAGTTGAGTCAAGAACCCCAACTCAAAAGATGGTAGAAAAGACTGGAAAATGCCCCATTCCCAGTAGCAGCTCCTCTCAGTGCCTGAAATCCCACCACTAGAACAAGAGAGAGGCAGATGTAATTGGGAAGGGGCTGCCCCCGGGTCCGTAAGCTCCCTGTTGTTAGGGTGTGCGGGTAGAATCGGCTTGCTTCCGACTGCTCTGGGAGGGAGGTCCTGTAACAGGCTTTACAGATCGAGAGTCCAGTTCAGGTGGCTCTGTGGGAATCTTGCACTGACAATCCTGGCCGGGAGGGTGACTGTGGGCCCGGGGGGCAGGGGTCCCATGTCAGGCGGGGAGGAATCCTGGGGCTAACGCCTGCATCTTACTGATCAGGAAACTGAGGCCGCAGAGGCATTGAGATTGTTGGGTTGCGTAGCGGGTCAGGGCAGGGCAGGACCGTGCCCCCAGCCTGCCTCCTGGCCCTTGGTTCTTGTCTGCTGCTCTAAAGCGCACATGCTCACACTTCACCGACACACACACACACACACACACATACGCACGGCACGGGGGGCACACGCAGGTGGGTGTAGAGCACATTCACAGGCCTCGGTGGTTCCACTCAGGCCCTGGGATCCCAAGAGGGGGGTGTAAGTGCTGCTCAATGGAGCCTCTTCCTTTCCCTGGCAGGAGGGTGGGGACGCCCTGGAGTAAGGAAAAGAAGGAGGGAGGGAGGGAGGGAGGAAGCCATTGCTTTGTGTATTGTTTCTTGTCAGGAAGATGAAGTGGCTTCTGGGAGCAAATAAGGACCCTCTGAGATCCGCTGCTCGCTCTCTGTCCCTCAAGGGGGACCTCCTTCTCTTCTCCGCCCCTCTCCCCAGCCAGTGGTGGCACCTGTGATGTCAAGGGACAGGGTGACACATTCAGAAATGCCACCAGATGCACAGCACAGTCACGCAGGGTCACATGCCACAGAGAGACCCCCCCAGACACACAGAGCCCCCCATGCCAAGAGACGGCCCGTGTGTGATCGGGATTCTCAGAGACAGCTGGAACGCCCGGGGCCATTACACGACTAAGTTGGTCCGCATGTCCACATGGGGGCTTTACAAAGAGAGTGGATATTCTCAAATTTGGGGTGCAGGACTTTATGTATTTTCCTTAAATCAAGCTTGTTAATTATGTGGCTCAAATCCTTCCCGTTGGTGCTATTTATAGCATCTGATTGCTTTAGTCTATCCATCTCTAAGAGCAGGCTGGTGAACTCTTTCACTCTGGTGGCTGACTGATCAGGCTCACCTTACAGGTCTGTCGGTTGTCATTTTTTTAGGCTGTCTTGTCTGGTGCATACAGGCTTAGAATTTATGTAGCTCTTTGATAGACTTGTCATTCAATTTTGATGTAATCAGCCCTCTTAATGTCTAATGAGAAAGAAAAGGAAAGAGTCACACCCAGACGCATACGGTCACCCCCAGATCCTGCAGACACCAACCTACAAAGATACACAGAGGCCCACAAAGCGTTGGTTACCCAGAGGGCCATGGACACAGGAATACCCATCAAAGGGTGACACGAGGGGACTCACTGAGGTCCCCCTCGCTGTGAGTGCTGAGTCCTGGAGGCATTGGGCAAGCAGGGCAGGCCTTGATGTCTCCCCTCCCCTGTTATTTGAGCCTGGATGCTCAGAGTACAGCCAGGCCAGTTCTGGAACCTGCTGTTCGCCAAGGGTGGGACACCAGGGTACCCGGGTCGAGTTGGGACCCTGGGCCTAGGAAGCGACCTTGGTCATTCTGTCCATGGGCAGCAGGGATGGGTTGAGGACCACTGACCTCTAGAGAGGTCAGCCCTGTACACCTTCCCCCCCCCCCGCTGCCCCTGCTGCTGTCCCGGTGCCTGGGTCACGCTGGCTGCTATAGACCCATCTTCCAGCCGTTCCTCAGTCCGAGACGGGAACAGCCGGCTCCCTTGACTGGTCCTGTAGATAGTCAGTATCCTTGGCTGGGACAAGATGGCTTTGCTATCTCCCCCCTGGGACTCAGCCTCTTCATTCGTTACCTCACGGAGGCTTGCACGGCCTGCCCTGTAAGACCCACAAAAACTAATGGTCTCCCAGCCAGAAAGCCAGTAAACCTGCCCTGAGTCCAGAGAGTGTCCCTGGAGCCAGGCTGCCTCCAGAGAGGGTGGAAGTTCTAGAAAATTCGCATTATCTGCAACTTCTGTCACTACAGCAAGTGTCCCGTCTGGGGTCCGGGCAGCAAGATGGGAAGGTCTCCCCACTCTGTCCTCACCAAGCCCCCAGGCCAGGGGTCTGAGGTGCCCACAGAGGAGGCAGGAGCCTTACTTCCCTGAAAGAGTTGTGGGCGGTTCAGTGAGAGCATGATGGCGCAGCCGCAGAAGTTGATTCCAGCCAGGCACCGGGGGAAGCTTCTTGGAGTCGGTGGGGTCTGAACTGGGCCTTGAGAGTGGCCTTACATGGATTTGATGTGCGAATGGAGACTCTGCTTCTTTCTGATGCTTCGGATTCAATGTGGGGCTTATTCTGTTGTTCATACTTATATTCATAAAACTGATTGTTGGGGATTTTTTTTTGGAAGGGGGTTTTGTCAGTGACATATAAGCCCTAAGCTGGGCAAAACTCCCTGGGGATGTGCATTTTTTTTTTCCAATACCAAGTGACCACAACTGAGATTAGCCCTATTTAAGCAATTGTTTCAAATTTAATGGGTTGTGAACAGTAACATATTTTGAATTTTTACCTGCTTTCTTCTGGACATTGACTTTCAGCAGACCTTTATCCCTTTCAGTTCTGAATTATCAAGTTTTGCCAGATGTAAGTCACACAAGTGTGTTAGTGGTCAAAGGAGAAGCGGTCAGTGGACATTGAAGCAATCAGGGGAGGCTTCCTAATGGTGGTGGTGATGGCTATTGGGAGAGGAAGTTCGTCAACCCATGTGGTTCTGAGCTAAAGACTCTGAGTGGTCAGGAAGGGGGTATAACACAGAGTTCACAGGGCAGGTGGTCACCCCCTCTGCTTCCCGTGGACTCAAAGGGCTGGGCATGGCACAGGGCCCCTGGCTCTGCTCACTGCATGAAACCCTGTGCCTTTGGGCAAAGCAGGGGCTGGGGTACTCAGACCTAGTTAAGAACTGGGGGAGGAGATGAGCTTGCCCAGGCCACAACTGTGAGAGGGTGGGGACGTGGGAGGCTAGGAGGCAGGAACCACTTAGATCGATGGCTCCATTAATCAGCATGCCAGGCCTGGTTTCAGGACTCCCGCCAGCTAGCAATTAGGCTGAGCCTGGAGAGCAGAGAGCAGGAAGAGGAGGCTTGAGCTTCCTGAAGCCTGTCCGGAGGGCAGGTGTGAGTGTGGATGGGCGTCTGTACAGTTGGCCCAGTCTCACAGGCCTCTCCTTCGTGGAGCTCATCCTGGCTCCAGGCAGGCCTCACTTGGGTCTCCACAATCCTATGCAGGGTCCCTCCCCTTCCACCTGTCCCGCAGTGCTGGGGATAAGGTGAGAAAGAACCAGAACAAAGCCACAACTATCCCGGTCCCTCCTGCCTCTGCAGCCCTTCCCAAATGCCCTAAGACCCTCCCCACCCCATTGCCTTGGAAACTCCAGCCACTCTGGAAAGTGGGCAGGGAAAGCTATTTTACAGATGGGGAAACTGAGGATCAGACTGGGGAAAGGCCATGGCTATGGCACCAGCAAGAAGGAGAGTCAGGACTTGAACACAGGCCTTCTGCCTCCACCACCTAACCTTGGGATGGGAAGAAAACTGGGCATTGCCCAGAGGGCTGGCTGGGCTGAGGGGTTACAGTGCTGGGGTCCACCAGGAAAAGCCTAGAGCTGGGGCTGCAGTCCAGGGGAGGGGATGTGAGTCACTTTCCCTGTGACCCAGGACTGCAGACAAAGGCGGGAAGAGAATTGTTCTTGTAAGATGGCCTCAGGGTGAGCTTGAGAAAACTCTGGGTGGGGGGAGGTGGAAGAGGGCCCCCCACCTAGGCTTTTATAAAATGCCCTCCGGCTTTGGAGGACCACCCCCTCTCCCTTCGTTCCCAGGATGAGACTTCAAGTTCAGGCTTATTTGGACACACCAACTCTGCCTGGGGGAAGGCAGACCACGTGGCCACATCCGGACATCTCTGCCAGTGGGCCTTTGCCCATGTGGCCCAGCTCCCCTCTGTGGGTGCACCTGGCCCCTGGGACCCCCACAAAGGGGAGGTTGCAGGGGCTCCCTGGGGAGGGGTCTCCCTGGTGCAGCTGCAGGGGGAGGGCTCTGGTGACCTCACGGCAGCTCCCATTCCCTTCTTTTTCCATGAGTCATGTTTCTAAAAGTGGCCCAAGAGCAAGTGGCAGCCAGACGGTAGTGGCGGGGCCCATGTGGCCAGGGAGAAGAAGGGGAGCTTGTCCAGGAGCGAGACGGAGAGGGAGGGGAAGGCAGGGAGGGCAGAGAAGTGGGAGAGACAGACAGAGGTGGGGTAGGAGACAGAGGGCGGGCCAAAAGGGAGCTGGGCGCAAGGAGAGAGACTAAGGGAGCTGGCCAGCTAACTGAGGAAGACCCTCCCCAGCTCTGGGAGCTTTAGATGCAGCAGGGGATGGGGTGGAATGTTCTGAACTTGTGGGGTGTGAAGCATTGTGTCCAGGTGGGGCCTCCTACACGTGGGACTTGCCCCTCGCCTCGGGTACTCTGGTACTCCAGGATGCTCTGGTTGGCTGGAGTGGGATGCAGGCTTCTCTGGCCTCGGTAGAGTGCTGCAGGGTGGAGGCAGGTACCAGGGGCTGAGCTGGCACCTCCTCAGAGGTGTGGAAGGGACAAAGCTTGGTGTCCATTACCAGCAGTGTGTGCTTGGGTGGGGCCTGGCCCCCTCTGGGCCCAGCTGGGGGCTAATGTGATGGGCTCCAAGGGCACTGAGTTGCCTGGGACTGGGGGGCCTGGGACACCGGCCCCGCCTCGCCTGCTCACTGAGCCTTGCTGCCCCTCTTCCCTACAGCTGGCCCCTGGTGTGAACTCTGGTCAGGGCTTGGGCATCGAAATCATCGGCACCCTGCAGCTGGTGCTCTGTGTGCTGGCCACCACTGACAGGAGGCGCCGGGACCTCGGGGGCTCGGGCCCTCTCGCCATCGGCCTCTCTGTGGCCCTGGGACACCTGCTGGCGGTGAGTGTGGGGCCTTCCCAGGTGGGAGTGGGGGCAGTTGGGGTACCCTGTCATGGGCAGGGGGCTGGGGCCAGGGTCCTGCTCTGAGAGGGCAGCACAGGGACCTCCTGACCATCTTTCTGGGTCGGTGTGCCCCTCTCTTTCTGGGTCTAATTGTCACCTCCGTATTTTCTCTCTGTGTGTCACTGTGTCTCCTCCCCCTCTGTCTGTTTCTCTGGCTCTCCCCCTTCTGCCTCCTGCCCTTCCCCTTGCAGATTGACTACACAGGCTGCAGTATTAACCCCGCCCGGTCCTTCGGCTCCTCCGTGATCACGCATAACTTCAAGGACCACTGGGTAAGGGGTCGCAGGGATATCCCCTGGAGGGGGCGAGGGGTTTTGGTGCCGAGTGGTGGTTCCAACTCCACTCTGCAGCATCCTCTCCCATCACGGAGGCTCTGGGAGACAGACACGGGGGAGGAAATTGGGAAACCAAGGCCTGACATGGGGGTGGTGGGGTGTAGCATCCCAGCAGCGTGGTGGAGAGCCAGGCCCGATTGTGGGTTGGCCCCTTTCCCATTCAGTGTGACATGGGCAGGCTGCCGACCCTCCTGGTACCTGCCTTCCCTGAGCGGTGAAGTGGGGGTGTTGTGGCACCTACTTACCTCCCAGGGTGGCCTCTGGGACAGATGGACTCACCACCTGCAGATTGAGCACTCAATCTCAGAGTCAGCACTCAACGGATGTAGCTGTTCTTCCTGTCGACGTGTCTGTTTCGGGCCACCGTTTATTAAGCTAGACATTCCTGTGGCCCTTCGGAAGCTGGGGAGGGTGGGCAGGGCTGGTCTAGTCACGCCAGGCACCCTGAGTGGGGGCACACAGAGGCGAGGAGAGGCCCACTACCAGCGTCCTGGCTTGGGCCAGCTCTGGGGGCTCTGCAGTCAGGACACTGGGGTTCAACACGGCCTGCCTCTGAATCCAGGCGCAGGTGGGGAGAGAGCCCATGCCATGGGGTGGTGGGGGGCTGTCTTCAGGGCAGGCGTCCCACCCTCTGAGCATACCTGCTCTGTTCCTAGGTTTTCTGGGTGGGGCCGTTCATCGGGGGGGCCCTGGCCGTGCTCATCTACGACTTCATCCTGGCCCCACGCAGCAGCGACCTCACGGACCGCGTGAAGGTGTGGACCAGCGGCCAGGTGGAGGAGTACGACCTGGACGGCGACGACATCAACTCGAGGGTGGAGATGAAGCCCAAATAGAGAGGCTCTGGCCCGGGCACCCCCGTGGGGGCGGGGCAGGGGCGGGCGGAGGGCGGGGAGGGTGAAATCATGTTGTAGACACTCTGACAAGCTGGCCACCGTCACTTCCCAAAGATCCTCCAGAACTGTGTGGTCAAGCCTGGTTCGGGGCTGTTTCTATCACTTTCTTTCTCTGTCTCTGTTTCCTGGCCCCAGGGCTTCCTGGGGACCACGACTGACCAATCACTCACTCCCTTGAAGCCACAGAGGAAGTGAAAGAGAGGGACCCACCCTGCTAAGCTGTCCCCTCAGAGTGTGACGGAAGGTGTGCCAGGAAGTCCCTCATCCCAGAGCTGCTGCACAGCTCATCGGCTGCAGGGGTCTGGGGCGCCACCGTTATTGCTTTGTGCCTTTGGGCGTGGCCCTCCTTCTTCTGGAACATGCCCTCTGCCCCCAAGGGTGCTCTGAGGGGAAGAGATGGCAGGAGGTGCATGGTCGGAGGCAAGCGGCAGGCCGGCTTCGTTCCCGCAGTTTGGCTCGCCTCCAGCCCCACCTCCGCCCCCAGACTTGCTGCATGACCTTGCGATCGTCCATATCTTAGGGTCCATATCTGTAGGCGGCAGGGACAGGGAGAGCTCCACGGGCCCGGGGCCTCTCTATTCTTTAAGTGTAGATACTCCATGGGTTCTAGAAGATGTAGTATGGACCAGCACTTCCTCCACTTGCCCTGGTTCTTTCCCGAGGGGAGAGCTGTAGTATACATCTGTGTGAACACATGGACATATGCATACATGGTTCAAAGCAGAGACCAACAGACAGCCCAGGCCCTGAGAAGTCCCTGTTCCCAGGGAGCAGGGCCGACCCCTATGCAGCGGGGACAGGGTCTGCTGTCACAGGATGGTGCCAGATGGAGCTCGAAGGAGCAATACCCATGCTGCTTCACTGGGTTTTAGTTGGCCTTTCCCGTCTCTCATTGCATCATCTTAATCATCATGTGATTCTCCACTTCCTCCACACAGGTCACGCTTATGCAGGTGTGTGTTTATTAAAGGGCAGTTGGTTATCAGAAGCCCCACGCCCGAGGACAGATGACCATGATGCAGATCAGCCCACGGAGGCACATGGCCCTTGCTGGACCCTGAGGGGGGTTTCTAAGCCCCCAGCTGATCCTGAGGGGGGAGGAGGAGCTGATTCCCTCCCCTGTTGCTGAACTCCTGGTTGGAGGCATTTGGGGCAGCTGGGTGACCTGCACAGGCTCCCTGTGTGACCCCAGGCCACAGCCTTCCCTTCTCATTTACCTGGAAGGGACAGTCAGCCTTGGCCTGATGATGTAGATACCAGTGCAGCCCAAGGACACTTCAGAGGAGAGAGTCTGCTTTGGGGGCAGCTGTCTCCACAGTCTATTCAATCCCATCAGTGCCAGAGCACGTCCCCCAGCATGCCTGTAGGCATGATGGTGACAAAACCCAAGTGACTCCCATCTGCAGATTATCTAGAAGCAGCAGGACAACGAGGTAACCCTAAATGGTCACCGACCCATCATAACATCTACACATTCTCTTCTCCATTCCCTAGCAGGGACTTCTAGCTCATTTAACAGATAAGGAAACTGAGGTCCAAGGTCCCACAGCTAGGTAATGACTTGGCCAGGCCTAGCAACCAAGGCCATGTCTCTGGCTACTCCCTGGACCATGAGACTGACCCCTCTTATTCCCAGCTGGGCAGCGGTCAGAAGCCAGGAGGGGTGAGGGTCGTGCTGAAGGGGAGAGGGGGGCAGACCCACTTCCTGCCTGGTTCTGACTGCTACATACCAGACCCTGTATCTGTCTGCTCTGCATAGATGTCTCTTTGGAATCGGAAGTTCATTATATGTTAAGAAAATAAAGGAAAATGACTTATAAGGTCATCTGGGCTTCCTGTAGTTTTTCCTCTTTGGCTACTGTGTTCCTATGAAGGATCTTGGGGTCGAAGAGGAGATTGGTGCCCACACTGCAGACCCAGTCTGAGGGGGAGCCATTGCCTGCCCTCCTGCCCCGAGGATGCCTGGTCTCAGTGGGCAGACACAGCCTCACCCTAGAGCTCCACCTGAGCAACACAGGGTCCTGCCCCCCACAGGGGCCATTTTTGGTGATGGAGTGTGAAAGACACGGGGGAAAGCAGGACTGAAGTGTGACAGCCCCATCAACCCCTCTGCCCTCCTCAGAGCGTGGCTCAGGGAGCACCAGGGGCCGCTCGGGTGTCCGTCCCTCTGTCCCTCCACTCCCATTTCCAGCCCCACCCACATCTGTGTTGGGTAGCGGGACCCAAGGTTTTGCCAAGAGCTCACGCATCAGAACTGAGTGAAGTTGCGCTGGGAACGGGTGATACTTAGCTGGCTGGGAAGGGTGGCTAGCTCAGGGGGGAAGAGCAACTTAACCCCTTGAGGCCTTGTGGGCCCCTCCTCTCCTGGAGGTAGGTACCACACCTGATGAGGATGTGTATTTTCCTGTGGAGGCGTCTGTGGCTTTAGTCAGATTCCTAGCATGTCTGCCCCGGGCTGAAGAGAAGAGAGGTCAGAGTGGGCTGGCCTCTGCCCCGAGGGTGACAGAGAGCCATGAAAAGACAACTCTGCACCCATCTGACAGATGCTTTTCCATCTGTCCTCATGTAGTCCGGAGGTTGGTGTGGGCTGAACAGGGCTCTGTCCAGCCCTCCTGAACTCACAAAGCCCCTTCCCACTCAGGGCCTCTCTCAGAGTTGGGGGCACAGCAGGTGTGGTTGTCCTTATTTGACAGAAAGGGAGATGGACACGCAAACTTACGGGACAAGTCTGTGTCAGGCTGAGACTTGGACACAGGCCCCCGACACCCCCCTCCCTGCCCACCACACAAACACTTAAGGCTGGTTTCTCAAAGTGGAGACAACGATATTAGGAAACTGAGTGTCCAGTGAGCAGGCTTGTACCTTCCACGGAGGCCTAGAATCTGGGAGGCTCTGAGAACCACCAACCTTCTAGAAATCTCAACAGGCCACAGGTGCAGCTATCATCACAGGTGTGGGCTGATCAGGGAGGGGTGTCTGGGAAGGTCCTGGCGTCCCATCATTGCTCCTGGGAGACACATGGGTCCTGCCTCCCTCTGGTGGAGGCCTGGCTAATGGTAATGCAAGGGCACCTAGGGCAGGGCCAGGGGCTAGGTCACCCCAGTGAAGGCTAAGTCAGTGCTGTTGGAAAAGGCTTTCTTCCTCCAGTGTCCACTGGGTCCCTCCCTGTGAGGGGCAGCTGTGCTGTGTCAGCCCATGCAGACCTCCCAGGCTGAGGACAGGCTGGTGTGAGTGGAGAGGGATGACCTCAATCCCAGCTCTTCCTTCACCACCCCTGGTCATCTAGGACAGAGCCTTTCTTACAGACTATTTAGTTATAACTTCTAGAAGCCTAGCGCCAAGAGGCGGGACCGAAAGAAAAGGTGAGATCAGGGAACTGCTATTTCTTGAGCACTTACTTTGTGTGAGAAGCTTCCCCGGGTCATCACATACAGTCCTTCTGATCGTTACAACACTCTTGGAAGGGAGAGATGACTGCCCCCATTTACAGTGGACACTGAGGCCCCTGAAGACAAAATGATTGGCCCAAGGCCACAGAGCAGGCTGGTGGCAGAACTGAGATTTGAACCTGCTCTGCCTGGCTTCAAGGATTGGGCTCCTCCCACGATTGGGCCAGCCAGGCAGCCTGTCTTCCTCTGCCTGTGGGGTGTTGAGAGGCAGGAGCAGGAAGGAGAATGGCAGGCTGAAGGAACTCCAGCTCCAGGAGAAGTGCATCCCGTTCTGGGGCCAGCTGGACTTGGTGTCTGCTTCAGACACATGGGCACCACCGGACCCAGGGCAGCTCCCCTGGCATTGGCCCCACCCCAGCCTCCCCGGAGCTCTCTAGGCCTGACTGCCCCTCTCTCTGGAGGAAAATGTCTGATAAACCTGCTTAGCCATAGGTTGCCCCCTCCCACCAGAGTATATGGGAAGGGGAAGGGCAATGCTGCACCCTGAGGGAAAATGATGCACGATGAAGGAGCCTCAGATGTGCTTTCAGGCCTGGGGACAAAAATTTCGGGGTGAGGGTTCCCCAGACATCCTTTCTTCTTCTGGTTCATGGCTTCAGTGCTTCAGGCACTCTCACGGGTCAGCCCTTCTCTGCTCTGCTCGTGTTTTGTCCAGCCCAGCACAGAGAAAAGGTTTTGGGGGAAATACTGGAACCGGAGCGAGGCTGGTAGAGCAACTGGAGCCCTTCTGTTTTCTTCATCAAACTTTAACGGAGAGAGTAAATTTCCTGGAAGATTCCATGACTCAGCCTTTGTCCCCTGGCTGCAGAGCATTCAGATGACTACACACGTGAAGTGCTCTGGTGGGGAGCATCTATCACACCCCTTCAGCTGGGTGCCTACTGGGTCTCCCCCGTGGTCCAACGGAGACTTGGAGGTGGCTCAGTGGGCCTGGAAGGCTGGGCCCTCTGCACTTGGCCCATGAGGAAGCAGAATCTAATCTAGTAGCCATTGAATCCTAGAATATTTGTCCCTTCGTTAGACTCACAAGAGCAAGACATTGTGGTTCCACAATTGCCCCACTGATTCTGAGATCAAGGATCCCTGGCCCAGATTGCATGATTTTCCAAAGCCCTTTGGTGGGAATGTCTTCCAGAGGTCGGTGATGAATGCTCAGATCAACCTGAGGTTGCCTTTACACTATATATATATATATATATTCGGTGATGAATGCTCAGATCAACCTGAGGTTGCCTTTACACTATA